AACAAGTTGTGTTCCTTTGTGCATAGTAGACAGAAATGTCTTTAATGGCATGCGATTTTTTTTTAGAGCTTTTAACAGTATTACAAAACATCTATTTCTAACTATATATTCAGGATATCTTTTTTTTTTAAGATTTTATTTATTTGTCAGAGAGAGAGAGCGTGCACACGCATGAGCATTCACAAGAGGGGGAGCGGCAGGTAGAGGAAGAAGCTGGCTCCCCACTTGGCAAGGAGCCTGATGTGGGGCTCAATCCCAGGACCCTGGGATCATGACCTGAGCCGAAGGCAGATGCTTAACTGACTGAGCCACCCGGGCGTCCCTAAGATATCTTTATAACATTTTCATGTGATAATAGCTGTAATTACTGTCTCTAAAAATAGCTGTTGCATATAGGTTTTTGTTCTTATATACATGATATACTTTGATAATAAACCCATTCATATACAACAGATTAACTGTTAAAAGTTGAAGAATCTGATTCTTATACTTATTGGCTGATCATTCTATTTTACTCTAAAACTGAATACTGTAGGGGTGCCTGGGTGGCTAGGTCGGTTAAGCATCTGCCTTCAGCTCAGGTCATGATTTCAGGGTCCTGGGATCGAGCCCCATATTGGGCTCCCTGCTCAGCAGAGAGCCTGCTTCTCCCTCTCCCTCTGCTGTTCCCCCTGCTTGTGCTCTCTCTGTCAAATAAATAAAATCTTAAAAATAAATAAATAAATAAAATTGAATACTGTAAAAGGAGTGGGGTAAATATATGAACCTGCAAAACCCTTTAATAACATAATTAAATACTTAAACTAATTTATACCATTGAAATAAACATTTATTTTAAATACCAGACATAAATAGTTCCCTGTTAAATATAACTGCTGCAAATACACATTGCGTACTTAGGCAATTTCAAAGCATGTCTGTATTATATTAATACACATTTATCTAACCAACTTATATTACAAAATATTATAGAATTATTGCTAAGTATATTTTAGCATTTGCAAGAACAATGAATTCTTTATTTTTTACATAAAAATAGTGTAGCATAGTTATAATCATTAATATATATACATAGATCCATGCATATATTTGGTATCCTTTCCAATTACACTTGAAGTCAATGAAATAAATAATATTTATTTCACTTCATAAATACTGGCTTTGGCAAGCCCGATTATCACCTCATTTTGGAATATTTGTTTATTCATCACTGAGCACAAATCCAATTTTCTTTATATCATGTAAGATGGCATATTATATAAGCTCCCTAAATGTGTATCTTTCCAATAACAGTACTAATTATATAATAAGCATTAATTTTATTTTTTGTAAACAGGCATTATTTGCTTAATTTTAATATGTATTAATTTGAATTGTATATTAATCTTTTTCTGGTATATAAAAGGGCACAAATATTTAATTTTGTCTATCATTTTCTTCCAGCCCCTACTAAATAACTTTGAACAAGTATATCTAATATCAATTATTTCCTGACCTCAAGCAGTAACATCTGCAAAAAGAGAAAACTCAGTCTCCAATCACCAATTTATCCTTACAAATTATAAATACAGCATGGGAATTTAACGTGAAGCTCTTTAGTACCATAAGACCATTTAACTACATCAGCAATTTAAAATATGCACAGCTATATAAACAAAACTAATCACTGAAAGAAGGGAATACTACAGAGATGGCCAAATAAGGAGGAAAAAAGAACTCTTTCTTTTTAATATCACCTTTGAGAGAAATGTATAATGAAACAGGCTGAAGGTATGCAATTCTGAAATTTAATACTACTTCTCTTTATTTAAAATTATATTCCCCAACGGATGTATCCCATCACAGCTTTGCTGATTCCTTCTAAATTGAAATACAATTTTTCTCTGATCTTTGATTTAAAGGATGTCAAACTTCTTATAAAAAGAGTTAGTTGGCAAAGTTCAAGGCAAAAGAGCTATTTTAAAATGTTGCTTATATCAGAAGTCTGTTTGGATACTTCGAAAGAGAAATCCATAACTGAAGTACCTTTGGTGGCTCTTTGGAAGAACAGAAAAAAGACCAGACATTTTAAATGAAAAATGTTCTTACCCAGTGATTCTTTCATCTCTATATGCAAGAGAGAGACTGGGATTCAAAAAGTTCATCAGCAACAAAGCCTCACTCTGACCCATTTAGCAGTTATATCAGCCTGCTACCTGAGGTTATGTAAGAGTTTCCTTCCATTTGGAAGAGTTCCTAAAATGGGTACTGTCAAAGCTGGTAAAACTGAAATCTGACCTACTTTTTTCAAAAGATTTCCATGGATTTTATGGCAAGTGTAATTCCTTTTACAATTGGAACTCTCCTCCTTTCAAATAAACTGTGTTAACTGAAATATGCTAGCAACTGCTTTATTTTTTAAGGGTTAAAATATAAATCCATAAAATACATACATATTACTCAAATTTCTATCTCTAATAGTGAATGCCTTCTGGTGCTTTTTGCATACATTGGCTTTTGTTCTATTGTAAGCCCAGTATCATCGTGAATAAACCCACATTAAAAAATTCTCCATTTGGAGTACATCATAAAATATAAGTAAACTAATTAGTCTGACAGGAAAGTTTGATAAAACACAAATGTGAATTTTAAAACATATGTTACTAAAAAGATTCCTTGTATTTATAAAGCTGTCATGTGGAGTTTTCAATCTTCCTTTTAAGAATGAAGCATTACATTCTTGAGAGTGAAGAAGGTTAATTAAAATAGAAGCTATTAATACTTTTTAAAAAGAGAAATCTAATTTCTGGGTTCTTTCAAACTCCCAATTGTCACAAAATATAATGAGAAATGCATTTCAAGTAAATTCACAAATCAACCACACAGCATTATCATTTACAGATATAAAATATCATTCTTATAATTCAAATAAAAGTGCTATACTTTCCCTAAATTATTCTGAAAAAATCACTGAGAAGTTCACAGAGATTTAATTTCAAATGAAAGGATAAGAAAGCATACAGGCTTATGGAAATTATATGCACAAGACAGCGTGGCACAACGAACACATTTTTCACATGACTTAACAATAATAAATCATTCCTTCTATTTATTCATTCTTAAGACTACTAACTTCATTTTCCTTAAACAAGGTTTACAAGTATAGAAAATGGCCTGTATTTGCTATGCTTAATTTTCTACTTAACTATAAATTACATTGAATTAAGTGAAAATGAAGTGGTTATAAATATTTATAAATAAATGAAACAAAAAAATTAACTTCATAGCCTAAATCATATCCACAGACTTTATACTGTATACCTCATAAGAACAGAGCAAATAGATATGATAAACACTATAATAATGGACTTTAGTTTCATCAAAATGATAATCTTATTAACTACACATTTATTACCCCAACTTCAAGGCTCCTTAGAGTACACAGGAAATAAATTACTCTGTGCCCATAAAAATATGAGACAAGAGATCAGTATGAGTGTTTCTTGTACCGTGCCAAAATTAAGGGAAAGTCCAGGAAAAAAGTACTCAAAACAGTTATTTCCTATGGTTAAACAATGCATAATTTAAGAATAATTAAACAGAACCAGGATTAAAGAATACTTATGACAGACTTAAGTTCTAGTAATATACACAGAAGGGTAAGAATAAAGATAGTAATGATCAATGCTCTCCAAATACATGCCATCAGTCTTTGACTATAACTCTGTAGAGGCTTTTTTAGTATATATTGTTAAAATTAATCATATAAAATACATCTTAAATGGTTCACTCTGGAAAGCTAATATTATAATAAGCCATGATGTTTAAAAAAATCCTATATAAAAATGCAAAGTTATAAACATAAAGTACCAGAAGTTTCTAAATAAAGCTAATATCCTAGGATAAAAGGCACAGGAATGAAGGAACAGTAGATAAATTTATAACCAGTATTGGGGGCTAGAAGCTATAAGCTAAAATTCATATTAAGACATCCACATCCTCAGATATAATATCTAATGTTCCAGAAAAAGTAAGGAAAGAAGAATAAATGAGGCTGGCCTTACCATCAATGCTACAAATTATAACTGAAAAGTTGTAGTTTCAGTCTTTTTTCTACTTTTCTTTTATCATAAGTATGTTCATGACCTTATTTTCTATCTGGCTTACATGCAAAAATCACTTTTTGAAGCACTGCCTATTATAAAAGAGCTATGTCTTTTGTGCATGAAATCAATGGGGAAAATAAACAGTAAGAGTTATCCTAGTTAAATAAATAGAACTAAATTCCTAGGAGATTTTAAAGGTAAATGTTAAAGTATGTGTTTCTGGCTCAGAAAATGTAAATCTAAGGAAAATCCAGGATAAGGCTAATTAAACTGAATATACTCAAGATTTTTTTGTATTTTATTTACATAAATGTGGAGAGGAGAAGTAGAAAATTTTGAAATATACCCATACCCAAGTTCTTGCTTTCTCTCTATCTGGCAGAGCAGTGTATTATAGAAGGTCGTGAGGATGACAGTGTGACATTATGACAAATAGGAATGGAGTCAATGCAAATGCAGTGGGCCAATGTGGCTTTTGAGAAGATGATGGTTTTTATGAATGGATATACTGAATTGCAAGTAATTAAAAATTTATTTGGACAGGCTTAGATACTTGAAAAAATTGTGTTCATAAGCATTCTCATTCAGAGATAGAACTTCAATAAAATCTAACTGAAAAGATAATATGTATTTTTTCTAAAACTAAAAGCCCCAATTTCTTAGAAATTGACTTACTTTCCTCCAAAAGTATTATTTGTGATAGCAGAGGAAAATAATTCATTTCCTTAACTTCATAGTTAAGAATGCTATGACCCAAATTTCTACTGGTTCTGCTGAGTAAGCAGAGCTAAGTCATATTGGCCCATGTTAGTGTCTTAGTCTAAAAAAGTGCTAACACTAAAAGTGAAATTGGTCTCAAAACCATACTTCTTAAAAAAAAGTTTTTAAGTGTATCATTGATATTTCAACACTTACGGCTATCGTAACATATGTTTCCTAGAGCCCTGCCCGTTTGAAGTAGCACTTCCTGGTCTTTGCTAGTTAGCAGCTGCACCAGTGGTGAAATCAATCCAGCATCCACACACGGAATACGCATAAATTCTGAAAATAAGAGACATAGGTAATTAAAAATCTAAAAATTCACAATTTACATAATCATGTCCTTTAATAAAATACCTACCTACTATTAAAAGGTTTAAGATGGCTTACCATTTGAAGAGTACATTCTGTTCAAAAGTACCATTATAACTCTACTAAATACTTAGTGAAATAAGTACACAAAATGAGTGGGGTCATATTTTTCTTTGTTGACAGTCTTTGTCATAAACCCAAAAGATTTTTAATTAACTTTCATTATACCTAATTGATCACTATCTTCTCATAGTAATGAATATGCTTGGGAAGCAATATATGGTGACAAAACACTGGCAATGTTCTTTCCATGAGTGTGATAATTAAGTACTACAGTTATAAACTAAGGCATCAAACTGTGCAAATTTTCACATGTTCTCGCTCTTTTTTTACTATATGTTCTCTAAAAAGACAAAATATTTTTTAAAGGTTCAAGTGTATCATTACAAATAATAGGTCCTTTTCAGTGGCTAAGACCTAGTAAAATCATCTATTCCTTAATTCCTACTCTTTATTTTTATGCATCACTCACATCTGCTGTGAGTGATGTCACACATTCATAGGTCTCAAGTAACAAATGTTAAGTTTTCTTATACTTCAAACTCATTTTTCATTAGTTCTATAGTAAATCTTTCTCAAATTTATTGTCCCCCACTGATACCATCATAATCATGATGATTAGACATAAACTTCTTTACAGTATCTCATGATGGACTACTACAAAATTGAAGGATAATAATGATATCCAATTAATGAAAGTTCTCTAAATAATCAATATGAGAACTATCATTTTGGACATCATGACTTACTGCAGGATGTACTAGTCAAGGCACTTAGTCAACACAGACCTAATTCCTCAACCTATAACCCATCCTACTAAATAAAAAAATCATTGTCTTTTCACTATTACTTTCAAGGCGGTCTACTCCTTAGTTTGTTCCACAAGTGCCATCATCAGAAATCTTCCCTTTTTTTCTTCATTTTCAAATTCCTAAAGCACATCATATAGGGCTGTTATGTGACCTGTTACCTCTGAAACAACTTTCTTTCCCCATGACATAGCTATGAATCACAGAGGTATTCCTCTCTACCTAAACAAAGGATTGCATTCCTATTACATCTCTTACTTACTTACCATTGTATTATTGAAAACTCTCTGTAATTTAAACTTCTAAGATTTAAGAAGCACTTCTTACTTCTAAAGTTAATCTTCAAGTCTACTGCTGATGTTTGTTTGTTTGAACTCCCTATTGGGAGTTTTCCCTATTGGGAAAACGAATTATGCTATATATACTTTCAAGAATTCAATGACCATCTTCTACAGGGGATGATACATCAATCTACTTGTCTACCTCTTAACTTAATGATCACTTTAGGATCTTTATATATTTCAAATCTTAAAATAACATGTCACCAACTCAAATTAATCAATTTAAAGATAGATATTCATTATCTTTTCTATCTTTCCCTATGCCTAGTTTCCAACAGTGAAGTAACTACTAAAATAAGAAATTTAGGAATAGTCTGATTTGCACTCTTATTTCATAAATGGAAGCTGTTGTTATATTTTATTGTTTTGCTTGTTTGGTTTGTTGTTGCTATTTTTCATGTGATGGCAACACTGATGAGGTACTATTTTTCTTTGCTTTGATGCTCTAATGGTCTATATGATATCAACATATCTTTCAAAATTCTGATGGTACAATCAATAGCTCCAGTTATTCTTGAAATGATAGAGAATAAATAATTACAGAAAAATTGCAGAATCAAATAAAACTGTTCTGAACTGTTTTTTTTATACAAAAGCATACAAACACCATATTATAGGTCAATTGTGCCTCAATTTTTTTAAAAAAGCACATAAAAATAAAATAAAACTAATATATTCCTCAGCTTTCAATGTAAAGGCAATACTGCCAGTCCCTGGCAAAAGTAAACTCCCTTCTAAAACTTCTGCTTTTCAGTCAGTTTGCTTTTTAACTGAGGAGTGCAGCCCTCTTTAGCTAGTTTTTCTTTTTTTTTAAAGGTTTTATTTATTTGACAGAGAAAGACACAGCAAGGGAGGGAACACAAGCAGGGGGAGTGGGAGAGGGGGAAGCAGACTTCTTGTGGAGCAGGGAGCCTGATGTGGGTAAGCAGGACCCTGGGATCCCAGGACCCTGGGATCATGACCTGAGTCAAAGGCAGACGCTTAACGACTGAGCCACCCAGGCGCCCTTTAGCTAGTTTTAAAGACATAAAGTTACCTACTTTACATGGATAGATGTAAAAATATACCATGAACTTATAAGGAATATGTTTAAAATATATTTCATTATATATTATTTATTTATATATATTACATATATAATATTATAGAGGCTACAGAATGAATGGCTGTGACAGTCATCCTTGTTCAAAGGGATTCCCACTACCCACATCCCTAGTTCATACTACATAAGCCTGTTACCTGATCATAGCTGGTTAGACTCTGACTCGAGTCCAGACTATATACAGGCTGGCCAATAGCCTATCAAATGTTCTAGTTCAAAAAATCTGCTAAACAGGACAACAGCAATGAACTTAAAAAAAAAAAAAAAAAAACAGATCCTCTCCTGGTAATATGAACTCCAGAGAACCAAAAAGTTCCTGGGGAATGAGGGAAGGACTTTCAGGCTAAGGCTCAAAGTAAGATACATACAGAATGATAGTGAGTGAAGAAACCATAGTCAGTGGAAGCCATTATGCAACAGAAGGCAGAAACCACTAAGTATTTGTATGCTTCTATGTGTGTCTACACAAGATAAAATTCATTTTGTTTTTTGCATAATGTGTGGACTTCAATATAGAAATTCAATATAGAAGTTCAAGGAATAGGCATTGCTCTATCTCAGTATCAACCCAAATTCATTAACATAAAGTTGATTTCTACTGAAGAGTATTTTTTTTCCTTTGTAGTGAAACACTCAATAAATGCTTGATAGAATATTTCTATTTCTTTCTGAATCCAGTATTCCTTTCTTTTTTGCTTTTACTTTCCCAAATCTACTTGAATTATGTACTCATTCAGCATCATCATGGAGTACAGCACTGTGATAAAAATCATAAAATAGTTTATAAAATCTACTTTTTATAGTCTGCTTATCAAATATTAAAAGCCTTACATATACATACTTTCCCCATTTTCAGCTGCCTGAAGGAACCAAATCTATTTTATTAAAATTTTTTTAACTCTATAAGCCAAATAAAAACATTTGAGTGTTAGAGTCTACCTTAATGTTAGACTAAATAGTAATGTATATTCAGAGTTTGAATTTTCTCTAAAAAGCTTCCTATAATTATTAACTCTTAACTTTTTATGTTTTTCTTTAGAAGAACAAGGACAACCATGAGGCAAGAATACATAAGAACCAGTGACTTTTATACACAGGTTGCTGAATTGACATTTTTCATTTATACTGTATTGCCTTTTGTTAAAAAATAAAAGTTAATACTGGTAACTGTAACTAATTCTTACAAAATGACTGAGGTGAAGCTTCCAACACTGCAATATCAAGGTATACTTAAAGCTAGCTACCTGACAACCTGGTGAATTTCTCTGGTTGGGGGGGATAGTATCAATTTTATTCAACAACTTTTCTAGAGCATACATATATTTAATACTAAAATAAACATATCCTTGTTATGGAGTAGACGGCAAAATTAAAACAAATGAATTTACAAGACAAAGCAGGAGACTTCCATGTTTCTAGTGGTGGCCTCTCTAGTTCATCCTGGGTGTACACTTAAACTCTTTTGTTCAGAGCATTCAAGGGGAAAAGTTTGATAAACACTTTTACAATCTGATAAAGCACAGATGGGGAGGGAAAGGCATAATATCGATCCAAATTACTGATTCTGTATTACTTTAGACTGCGATTTGGTTCTCAAGCTTTATAGGCATGAGAATCACCTGGAAGACTTGTTAGAACAGACGGCAGGCCCCAGTCCTAGAGTTCCTGATTCAGTAGGTCTAAGTGGGAGGATCCAAGAATTTGTATCCTCATCAGTTCTTAGTGAATCTGATGCTGATGGTCCAAGGCAGGCAACTATTGTTTTGGAGGACTAGTTGAAGAGATACAAAGCAGTTCACCTTTTGTTTGCTTTTTACACATTTTAACTTCATTTATAAGCCTAATCTTTCAGGTCATATGCTGCTATCCCTGCATTCAGACCACTAGTACACTTTCTACTTCTATCATAAAATCTCATTTACTGAAGAGAAGTAAAGCAGAAGAGACAAGGCGAAGCATAAATTCCAACTATTATCACATAAGTGTTTGAATCCCAGCTTTACCACCTACTAGCTGTAAAGATAGGCAAGATATTTAACCTGTTTTCTTATGTGCATAAAATAATCCTATCTCATATGGGCTTGTTATAAGAATTTGAATGTACATAACACCCGGCACAATGTAGGCACATTAACAGCAGCACCTAGTTTTAGGAAGTTATTATTATTATTCCTTGAGAATACAATTCTGAAAAGAAGAAACTATTCATAGATACTTCCTATCTTGCTTATTTTTCCTTTGCCTCATATCAGTCTTAAGTATATTATACAGGGGAATGCTTTATTTAAAGGTATTGTAACCTTTTACTATAATTTATGCTCATAGCTATGCTCCCACATTAAACCTGCCCAAGAAACTTCTTGCTAATCCTCTGGATTTTGAACATTAGTACACAGTCAGGTATGTTGATTTTTAGAGGGTTTTCTGGATGTGCAAGTGTAAACGTAACTATGTTTTTAGATTAACCTGAATCTAAGAAGTATATGCTAATATTTCTCCTCTGTAGTTACATAAAATGTGCAGCAGAGTGAAGATGAACAAATCAACTTCCAATCTCTTTTTAACTCTGGTTCATATAATCTTTTTTTCATTGTCAGGTTCCTAACAAGAAGACAAGCCCAATCAATGTACTCTGTTGGATCATGCTATATTTCTGAAGATATTTGTTTTTAAAAGAAGATTCTAATTCACTTTCTCAGCCAATCACTTACAAAAACAATGTGGTGATTAAGCAAGAAATAAGTATTTAAATGTATTCTATTTATTTTAATCAGTAGAGGTTAGTGATATCCCATAACAAGCCTCTGATTAGAAGCATAAATTCTAAAAATTCTATTATGGTCTTTAGAACGTAGCTGTCATCCATTAGAGTGTTACTGGCAGCAACCTATACCAGAATTATCATGAAACTGTGACAAAGTATTATAAGGACTGATATTAAGTAAGATCATAGAGGAATGGCAATTCATTTCACAAAAATTTACTATCCGAAATTTCTGAATCTATGTTATAGTTAGTATGTAGACTCATTCTTAAAAGGTTTTAAGAAAAAAAATTGATTTCTGGAAATCTATGCTGTAATTTCCATGAAGTTAAAAATGAACCACCTAGGGGTGCCTGGGTGGCTCAGTTGGTTAAGCGACTGCCTTCAGCTCAGGTTACGATCCTGGAGTTCCAGGATCGAGTGCTGCATTGGGCTCCCTGCCCAGCGGGGAGTCTGCTTCTCCCTCTGACCCTCTTCCCTCTCATGCTCCCTGTCTCTCATTCTCTCTAAAATAAATAAATAAAATCTTTAAAAAAAAAAATGAACCCACCTGATGTTAAAAATCAAGCTATACTGCATCTAAGAACAGATTCAGGTAGTGGTTGGTCTAGGTTAACAAATACCATCTAGGGGGGTTCCATTCTCAAACTAGATCTGCTTCAGGAGTTCTTTGTTATCCCAAGATAATCACTGTCTATTCAGAGCAGTTCAAATCTGCTTGAAGCACACTAAATACTCCCCTACCACCAGGAATCTGAACAGTTATGACCAGCTCGAATCCAAAGCACAGCATAATGATTATATAATTACAGTAGCTTACATATGACACACAAACAATAAGAGGCCAGTTTTCATTTAACAACCAAAAAATGATTTACCAATACAGAACCTCATTGGAATTTGAAAGACATTTTGAGAACCTCTAAACAAATGAAAAAATTTCATTGCAATTTTTTTTTTTTTTTTTTGGTAACACACATGAACAAATCGTCTTACTGGGCCAAAAAACAACACATACTGGTACTTTACAATGCCACCTGCCATACTAATTACACAAATGAAGCCAGAATTTTAAAAATTTTTTCTCTTTAAAGTATAACATATGCAAATTGCTAAAATAAAAGTCCTAAAAATAATATCAAATTTCGAAAATCGAGGCACGCTAAAGATATTATTTTAAATGCCTTCCCTTATGCTTAAAAACTGCTTTAAGAAGTCAGTGTTTTTCTCAAACTGAATTAAAATCACGTGCAGGGGCTCCTGGGTGGCTCAGTTGGTTGGGTGACTGCCTTCGGCTCAGGTCATGATCCTGGAGTCCTAGGATCAAGTCCCGCACAATCAGGGAGCCCGCTTCTCCCTCTGACCCTCCCCGCTCTCATGTGCTCTCTCTCTCTCTCATTCTCTCTCTTTCAAATAAATAAATAAAATCTTAAAAAAAAAATCACGTGCAAATATTTCTGCTAAAATAGTTTTTCCAAAGAATCTCTCACTAGACAGAAACCATCTCTAATAGGATGGATTAGCTATTACACAATCTAAATTTTGCTGTCATTGCTGTTTTTCCATAGTATTCTTACATGGAGACTTAAGAAATAAATGTGCCACGAAGGTGAGTGTAGGAAACAGAACATATATTCCAGCTGCACTGCTGCAGTCAAGTGCCAGGTGCCAATGTTAGTAGAATAGGTCAAACCCCCCACCTCCCTGAAAAGAAGGGGAAGTTTATCTGGGTATAATACAAACCAACATATACACTGAAAAAGGTGAGCTCTCCCGTGACAATGAAGATGAATGACTCAGTGGCAAGCTCAAGAATCCTATTACCAAAGACATCCATGACACAGGTGTGGCTTTCCTTTAACTCTACTCTGAAGGAATGGAAATGTGAATAGAATGACTATAACTATAGTCATTTTCAACAATTACATGGGAAAAAGTCAAAGAAAAGAGAAATAGAAAGAAATGGACAATGTCTAATCTACAAAATTAAAACATAAATTAATAAAACATACTGACAAGTGAGGTGTAAAACTGAAGATGTTCCCAGCAGAAAAGTTCTTGAGGAAAGCCTCACCATTTTTGGCTACTTCTGCTATGATGTTAGCTACTTTGGCTGTGCAGGAAGACTGTGGAATCAACAGACTTGCAAACAGCTGAAGTATTCCACTTCCTTGGATTTTTTCACTTGTTTCCATATCTGAAAGAGATACATACAAAGAACTTAAATGAAAATCTTCAACACTAATACTGACAACTTTATCTATATACATTTATATAAATATATATTTACAATCTTCAGTTAAAACAAGCTGCTTTTATCTTGAGTTTTTATTTGCACAAAACACTTTATAATACAACGTTTTGTCTATCTAAAGTCAGATTATAAAGGAATCTTTTCTGAATATACCATTTGTACACCATATTTACTCTTCAATGTTAGTTCCAATCTGGTCTATTCAGACTAGGAATGCTTTTTTCCTACTCCCCTTCTGAATTCTTAATGGCAGGCAATATCATTATATATGTAATTTCTATGGTTTCCTACAATGCTATAGTAATTCTTAATGGCAATTAAATGAGCAAAAAACTCACCTTATGTCATTTTATATGGAATCATACAGAGGAGACTATATAGTTCCAATGACTACTATGTTTTTCATATAACTCATTCAAATGACCACTAATGAAGAAGAGAAACAGTAAACAGCAATAAGGCCATGGTGTTCAGAACTCTATTTGTTGATATAGAAATATAAGAGTCCCCTACTTCTTTCTTTCTCTTCTTTGTTAAAATACAAATAGCCTTTCTATGAAACCAAGCCACTCATGTACCTGTTATTGAAAGCATGACCTATAAAAAGACAGCAAGAACACTGGAATGATGATGGAAGTAAAGAAAAACTCAAGGAAATAAAACAAAATTACTATTTGATTCTAAACAATGAACAGGAATGGCATGTATTTAGAGAGTTATAAAGCTCATTAAACCATCCAATTGAAACTTGGTCTCCCATATCCTTTACATCCTTTGGATATACATACAAATAAGAGGGAACTCTAAAGACTGCTTGTTAAGTAAATGGCACCTGTTGTGATCAACACAGAATAGGAAAATCATTTTTAATAATCTGAGAATCTACCCCCCCAAATAATGTATTTCTTTATAGTAAGTACTTATTGTTTAGTATAGTGTTTTTCAAATTGTGGGTCCCAATCCATTAGGAACTCTGGCTTGGTGAACAAGAACCAGTAATTTCTTAAAAAGAGAAACAAAATTAACATCTGCAACAACAACAAAATAGAAAAAACTTTTGCCCATAATAAGGTAAAACAGTGCAACTTTGGTTTGAACTACGTGTATGCACGTGTACTACTCCATGTAAAATGTATTTCTAATTATAGGGTCTGGTCAAAAAAGTTAAAAACCACTGTTCTGTGCACCCCTTGACTATGCAGGATTATGAGCTAAAGAACCTTTAACACTCTCTTAACATTATCAAAAGAAGCTAGAACTGTGAAATGGTTCTGAAGAAATAGAAAGTTATATGGAAAATTATACTTCCATGGACTTATTACCTTAAAAAAAGTTATTTGCAACAGGTTATACGTGTGTGCTCACCTAAGACATCAGTACTATAGATGAAGTAACCAAGATTATCCCATGTTGAAACTCCATCTATGCACTTCCTGTTGCTACCATAAGCCTAGTACATTTTCATACACTAAATACTATTTTAGTTTCTTATATTTATGTAGTAAAATAAAAAGGAAATTTTGGAGATACTTTAAAATAACCCTATTTATTAAGTGAAGAAACAGAGCCCAGAAAAATGAAGTAGACTTTTCTAGAGTCACAAATCATACTAATCACAGAGAATAAATAACTACTTCAGATTCTGTAACACTAACAAATTGACATGTGTTTTACCTGGCATCCACTGGTTTGTTTTTTTTTTGGAACAGAAAACTTACTTAAGCATGAATAGAGAAACCTACCCTTGTGTGTGCAGTTTCTTACTATGTTTCTCATAATTCAGATTATTACAAACATAAACTACCCATGATGGGACTTAAACACAGAAGCTGTCCTTTCGGCAAGGGCAATTTTATATATTTATAAAATATAATGTGATGTTTTGCTTTTATTTTGTTTCTTGGACTAAAAAATAAGTTTTTGAGATAACACCTGAAAATCAGACACCAAATTTCCATTACTTGATTTTTTTCCCCCAAGAAGCCAAAAAGAACTGAACTCAATTTGCCATATTAAAATCCTTCCTTTTCTGACCATTGCTACCACAAGATGTATAACCCCAGAATGCTGGGGCAGACTGCCCCAGGGGTCTTGTCCCACCATCTGCTGATGCTGGGATGACAGCAAGAGTCTGGCATAAGGCATGAATCACGATTAGATGTGAAGCTGAGGCATTTGTGTGTGTGGAGGCGAGCAGTTAAGTGCAAATCACCCATGCATGTCTCATTTTAACCATAACTGAAAGAATGACTTTACATCAGAGCTGAACACTAGGGGCAAGGGGGGAAAAGGAAACAAAAACATATACCAACCCCTTACATTCTGATGAGTCTTGCCACAGTTTACAATCCAAGAAATTGGGAAAATAGCTGTACTAAAATGAATGAAGATTTGGGAACAGTATTTTTTTAATGCTATTGTCAGAGAAATAAAAGGGGAAAACAATTTTTTTTCATATAAACCTGATATACAATTTAGAAAAATCTAACAGGAATTCTATTAACTGGCTAGCATGTGGATTTCTTTGTAAGTTTCAAATTTAAATTAAACAGCTGAGAATTATCTTTTCTTTTGGCATAGAAACATAACCAAATACTGCTTATCACTAAAATGCCACTGTACAATAAATAATTACAAAGTTTCAGTCTCATTTCATATATATTTTCTGCACTGGCATTCTATTGCATCTCAAAGGGTATATTTATCTGTGAACTAAAAGATGTTCTCAGATATCTGTGAGCACTCTTGAAATAATTTTAAAAGAACATTAAGAAGTAGTCAGTGGTTAGTGTTTGCAATCTAAATGATTGACTATTTGTAAAGAAATCATGCACTGTGATCAGTTTTTTTTTTTTTAAAGGTAGACTTTTCATTATCTTTAGCCAGACTACTATTGACATTTTAACTATGCTCCTTTTAAATGTTTGTAGGAATCAATTCCACATCTTTCTTCCCCTTCACATTTAGGTGCAGTCATAAAAATGTCTGAGTATGTCTACAAATTATAGGCAGCCGGCAGACCTTGAATTTTGAAGGACCCATATATGAAGGACAATTGCTACTCTACAGTAATATCTGTGGGGGTGACTGCAGGAGTCCTATCCATCACAGTGGCCTTGCAGCTCTACAAGCACTCATTCTGTCCTGGGAGTCCTATGTCCACACTCCACCTGACCTCTTGATGGCAAGGAGGCAACTTAGTTATGAAACTGCCAGTGAAAGAAAGAACAGGAAAAGTGGGCAATCGGGTCAGAGAAACTTGAAAGAAGAGTAAATCAAGAAGCCAGGATACAATGCCATACAATGCCATCTAGGAGAAGTTAAAGCACTACTCATAGAACTTCTCAAGGCCAATAAATGACCCAGTGGAAGAGAGCAAGTGGAATGAGAAGGAACCTATAATTCCTTCCAGAAAGACTAAAGTTCCCAACAAAGCTGCTAAGTAAATATGTTAAAATAACTGGCTTTACAGTTAAACACCAAGGGGAGGTTTCCAGGTATGCTACTAAGATAAGCTGAATTTATGATGTTATGTCAGCAGGTAGGTTACATGAGAATAAATTAATGGAAAACATCTGATAACCATTTTATAGTAAACTCCAAGTTAGAAAAACAAAAATAATGACTGTTATTACTGTAACTCTATTAGATTAAAAATGTATTTAGATTAGATAGTATTGCTTTAGAGTAATAAAAAGTGTTTAGGGCTATAGGAACAATAAACTGGTACCTTTACATTATATGTCCAAGGGATCCCTATGACAGACTATGAAGAAAAGACTCACATTTTGGATTGACCAGGAATATGACTCATGGATCAAAAGTCCAAGCGTTTCCTTCGCTAGGGAACTATGTATTACCTCTCAGGGTGGATTTTTAGAAAAGGGTGTAACAAAAGACCTGACCCTATGCCTCGGCGATCTAACCCAAATGCAAGGCATCATTTCATCAAATGTGGGCATAGTACCACACAGACAAGTCCCAAATCCTCTCTTCTTTTATCCAACTGAAAACAAAGAATTTGCACTTGGTTATGCCATAAATACCTCAAATTTAATATTCCCCAAATCAAATTTACCCTTTTTCCCTCAAATTCATTCTAGTCTCAGTGAATGATAGGGAATCCATCTAAGCCAGAAGCCCTAGAATGATCTTAAATGTGTCACTTTTAGTAAGTGCCTTTCTACTACCCACATTAAATCAGAGCACAGGTTCCATAGATTCCATCTCACTAGCTTCTTTTGTATCCATCCTTTCGACATCCATGTCACTTCAAGTTCTCAGTTCTGACCCTTATTAAATCCAGTAGCCTCAAGAGTCTCCCTAAATCCAACTCCCATCCCCCATCTGCCATCTACAGTGATAACAAAATAAACTTCTGGAAATGAATTTCATGTCACTCCTCTACTCAAATCTTTAAATGATCCACCATAACATTTAATGAAAGTCAAGCACATCTGTCATATTTCCCAACCTATCTCCTGGTACTCCCCCACTGATATCCTATACTCTAGCCACACTAAGTTACTTGTAATAATACAAATTAATCTTATCTTATACCACCTTACTGCACGTGTTTCCTCTCTGAAAGGACACCACTCCCTACTTTAGGTAATTCCTGCTCAGTCTGTGTCCTCACTTAGTTAATTAAAAGCCATTCAATCTTTCTAATGATATCTGACCAATATAACCACCACCTTAAATTTATACTGAGAGCATTTTTTTTAAATTTCAAAGCAATTTCAAACATATTATCTCATTATTTTATTTATCTATTTATTTTGAATCTCATCATTTTAAAAAGGTCACGTGAGACAGCATTATAGGTCATGTTTTCTTCACATTACAAATAAGGCCACATGATAAGATTATATTGGAAAAGGAATAAGAATCCAGTTTTTCTGGTTCCTACAGTCTAGTGCTCTTCCTACCACAACTTATTT